CCTTTGGGCCTCCACACCGTAAGGGGGAGGAGCGAGTGTGAGTGCTTATAGTGTTCTGTTTGACTTGCCGGATGAATTGGAACCGCACTGAAGCTCCCCTGAAGTGAAAAGGAGCCAGAACAATAAGGTCCTGTTTTAAAAAAGAAATGTGAAAAAAAAAAAAAAAAAAAAAAAAGGTTGGTAGGACTTGTGTGGAACTGCCAAGAACAAAAATGTGATATGAAGCGCCACGGCAAGAATTCTCAACAGTAGGAGGAAGAAAGGAGGTACTTTGACTCAAGTGGAAGCCAGAAAAGTATCTTTCTTTTCCTTTGCTGTTTGATCCCCCTTTCGCCATCTTCTCTTTCTTTTCCTTTGCTTTTTCGTGTGTACTTCAAACTGTTTATGCGACTTGCCGATGATGATGCAGTTCTGGGCTACAAAGGATGAGATGGGGAGATGTTGCTGATCGGTTTCGTTTTTACCCTCCTGAAGAGACTTGCAATGCACAAGTGGAAACCGGTAGAGGGGTGGCGTGCTGCTGTGGTGTTTTTGGTGAAGTTCCGGAGTGTCGACTGCTGTAATCTTGATGGGCTTTGCCCTCCATTTTTGAGCAGTTGTGGTAGTGTTCGCTCGCCCTTGATTTCTTTGTGGTTGTGGCTCTCTCTCCTCACTTACTCTTTCCACTGCAATGGTGTGTTCTGGATGCATTATCTCTGTTTCATTTGCTGTCGTCCTGTGCATCCTTATAAGCTTTGTTATCATGGGATTGCATCTGAATGCAAGGCAATGGGCCATACGCACTGCAATGACTCTTGTTCTCCCTCCGGTCCTATTCTGACATGTTCGTCTTTGTTTTATGTGCTGCCATCCTGTGCATCCTTAAAAGTATAAGCTTTGTTATCATGGGATTGCATCTGAATGCAAGGCAATGGCCATACGCACTGCAATGACTCCTGTTCTCTCTCTCCGGTCCTATTCTGACATGTTTGTCTTTGTTTTATGTGCTGCCATCCTGTGCATCTTTAGGGTATAAGATTGTATCTGGATGTGGACAAGTCACCATCATCTCTCAGAAGGTTGCAGTCGAGAAGGAGATCAGCTACAGATCCGTGGGCGGTCCCTACTCGTGCAATGTTTGTGACCAGTGTTGCCTGTCTAGGTGTTGGGTTGATGCTGTACATGAAAAAATCTAACCCACAACTGTCATCCGATGAGCTGAAGGCTGTCGTTTCTACTGTTGCGGGAAAGAGGAGTTGAACCTTGAAACTCAGAACAATTTTGTCCTGTGAGCTGCTTTTCACTCCCTTTGTTATGGGGGTTGGCCGCATGTCCAGCTCGATCGAAAGTGCATTATGCGTGAGGTAACCATTGTGGAGAGAGTCTTGATTCCAGCTGAGCATGCCTATTTCATGGCAGTCGTAGTGGAAGTAGCTTGTCGTGACAGTGGCATTGTGTACGGATGAGAGGAAACAGGGAAAATGTCCCAAGCGCGGGAGGTGGTGGTGGTAGAGGGATCGGAGCGGCCGGCTCAGTGTCCAAAATCAAGACCGCCGGTATTATTATTCTGATTCGTTTGATTCGTTTGATTCGTTTGATTCGTTAGTTTGCCACTTCTGATGATGCAGAAAAAAATCAGGTCATTTCTTACGAGGGGTTTCTAACTTTCTGTTACTTTTATTGTTCTCGTCTTTTCTTTCCATAGAGACAGGACCACATTTTGTCTCTGTCTGTCGTCCCTTTTAGAGGAGGGGCGCTCTCAATGGGGGCATTCCTTTCTTGCCAGTGAAACTGGAAAGGAGTATACTAGTGTAGAAAATCCCAGTAGGGATTAAATCAAATGAAACCGCAAACTGCCATTGAGCAGCAGTTGCCACACATTGACAGGGTGATTGATTTGCGTCTGAAAAGACTCTAAAGTCGCTCCCTCCTCCCAATCTTATGTCATTGTATCATCACAACAGTTGAAGATGTATCAGCTCGCCTTTGGACATCAGAATCGTTACACAATGTGGATGCCGTTCCACTGTTGGCTCTTGCCATGAAAATGTGTAGTCATGTCAGTAAGTGATCTATGCAGACAGTTTCATACACTGCACAGGCCAAGGAAGGAATCGAAATTCTGCCACGTGGGGTGTCGACTACCCTAGCAGGCTGCAGCTGTGGGTGTATAGTTGTGTTTCGTATAGACTTGCGTTTGATCGACGACAATGCCCGCCTCTTTTGTTGGATGTTGAGGTGATGAAGATCAGCCTGGTGGGTGATCTGTGATTCTGTGTGAGTGATTTTAGGGCACGATCAAGCCGCCGTAGGTTGTGGACTTAGTCGCAACTGCAGAGTAGTAGGGGTAGGGTATTCTGTTTGCTATTTAGACCTGCAGAGGCTGTTGAAGCTATGCCTTTTAGCTGTTGCCATGGGTACTATCACGTCGGCGGGCATTTTCTAGTGTGATGCAGTTGCGTCTTTGTGCAGGTGAGGAAGAAGTTCAATCAGAGAATCAAAGCCAAGCAGCTTCGTGGAGTCAAAAAAACGTTACCTACCGTCTTCCCGCGAACACAACAATGCGCCCTTATTTTGGCTGTATCTGGCCCGAAATATAGCTTGTATGCATACAATTTTAAGGGTGCGTTATGTTCGGGGGAAGACGGTAGTCATCAGTGCTGCTATATTCCGACCTGTATTCGGCCTGCATGGGGGCTCATTGATATCTGTCTGGTGCGCTAGCTATTGTGGTGCTCCACTATTCCGTTGCCGGATTAACTCTTATTTTTCGTACGTTCGCTCGAGCAGAGGAGATGAAGTTGAAGCGAAGCTCAAAGGGCAGCAGGAACTTAATAGAGTCCATTATTTTGGTATCCCTGCCGGTGCATTTTGTCTCGTGATGCAGACTATATTGGGTAGCCAGCTCGCCAACTTCTCGATTGCGTGTGAGCCATTGCCGTAACCATGGTCTCAGTGGCCAATGATCTGCAGACATGGCTTCCCATGTTTTCCAATGCTAAGGATGTGCACTCCGTGGAAGGTCTTCCCTTAATGCGGGCCCATCAAACATTTTGCAGACAAGCGTTCATCCAGCAGAAGTGTGAAACCAATTCTAAACCAGCAAGCAGTGTGTTGAGAGAGAGAGAAGAGAGAGAGAGAGAGAGAGATGGTGTTTAACAGACGGCTACTTGGTGTTCCAACGCTGAGGCTTGATAAAAATTGAATATCTACGACCCATTCAGGTTCTGTGGGCATCCATTTGGCTGTCTGCTCAGAAGTGGTGATAGCAGACCTGCAGAGAATGACCAGGCTTGGCTGTCGACTGTATAACGGAGATTGGCAGACAAGTTATCAAAACAATTTGTGCCTCATGTGATGCGGCTGGAAAGCCTTGGGGAGCATCGGATACATGCAGCGCAGACAACAAACAACGTGTATTCAATTTGTAAATCAAGCGCTGGTGGTGATATTCTGCGGTGGAGACTGGTTGAAGAGTTTTCCGGAGCGGCATGTATTATCACAGCAGGGAAAATGAGTGCTCATCTGATCCAACTGGAAAGCCTTGGGGAACACCAGATACATCCAGCGAGGACAACAATGTGTATTGTACATCAAGGGCCGGTGCTTTGTGGAGCCTCTCCATGATGACCTCAGGGGCGAGTGAGCTGAGTCGTTATTACTTGTTTAATCCAAACAGTTTCCTCCTCCTGTGCGGAACCGCAGCTGCTGGCTGTTTCTCGCAGCGCTCCTGTAAGTATGGTCACGCACTCTGTCACGATTCAGAAGCTATTTCATCATTTTGCCTTTGGATTGCACAGCTGGAGAATGTGGATGCCACTCACCCATTGAAGGAAAATACAGATGTATTGTCATGGAAACAAAGTATTAACTGGTCACTAGGCATGTACAATGGTAATGTCTGTAAACAGTGTGAAGATGTGCATACACACCGATGTATTATATGACTCAGTGAGCGCTTATCTCTTTGGTTGGGCAGGAGAAACAACCAAGTAAGTGATCATGATGACCGCAGAGGCACCTGGAGCACCTCTGTGTGAACTGAACAGGTTAATTGGCATGGTGGGGTGTGCAAGCCTATGTTCGGGTGTGGTAGCTTGGGGAGATAAAGGGGGAAAGGGGAGAACGAAGTGGGCGGGCGTGGGAGCGTCGGGGCTTTAGATCTTTCGTGATGATGCTTGTCATTACCTTATGATAATCATCTGCCAGAGGAGTAGTCATGATCTGGACCAATACATGCAGGGCCGGGGGACTGGCAGCATGTGAATTTCCTGTTCTCACCACCACAGTCACATCACGACGTGTTCCCAATTTGTCAAACCTTGCCTACTGCTTGCTGTCATGAGGGGGGCTAAGATGTTCATGATAGGTGAGTCACACATCAGAGGAGGTCAGTTGATCGGAGCGAGTGGTGAGTCACACATCAGAGGAGGTCGGTTGATCGGAGCGAGTGGTGTTTGCCCTTGCAGTGAATATAGATGTCCGGCGATGTGCTCAGGATGCGGGCTCGGGGTGTTCGTGTCGTATGATTTTATGTTGCTGTGGCATGGCAGCAAGCACTGCAATGGGTAGGTTTATTCTTTGTCGAATGGGCAATTGAAGGCACAAGGGAACTCATGCTCCTTGTAGAAAGGCTCGTATCGATAGCATATAGCAGCTCGGTTAGGAATTGATTGGATATGATGATTTCTTTTGTGAAAATCTCATCCGAAGAACTACTGCTACTTCAGATTGCATGCAACGATTTCGACGATGACGAGGGTTGGTTTCGTATCACTAAGATCTTGTACCAACATGTATGAAGCTTAACCTTTTAAGGTCAGGTCAGCGCATAAAAACGTTGATCACTATGTCTCTTGGTCGAAAAGTACAGTTAACCGTTTCCTGCACTATGTAATCAGAATGGTTGTACCCTCTTCCACCTCCTCTGTAATCAGAATGGATGTACCCTCTTCCACCTCCTATGTAATCAGAATGGCTGTACCCTCTCCCCCAGAAGTCGGTGATTCTGTTTTCTTTCGTGACATAATTAGGTAATATCAATGATCGATAGCAGCAATGCGAATGGGATGGCACTCTTCATGTTTGTCTTCGTGTTGGGATTGCAATTGCAATTGCAATATGAAAATGTTCTTCCTTTACTGAAAAAGAGCCTGTTTTCTCGCCTTTATTGCTTCAAAGTTCAAAATTTATGCATGCATCGCACTCAAGCTCCACATCAAGATCCACACTACGAATACCCTTGGAACTTATTCACGACGCAACAATATGCGGGTAACTAGCTCTCTCTCTCTCTCCCTCTTGTTATATATCACGATATATATATATATATATATATATATATATGTATGTATATATAAGGGCCTTTACCCGATTCAGACCCTATTCGGCAAATGCAGCAAATAGGGGTCACTCGCCCAGTACCCAAAACGTGAAAGCAGATCAAAGGTCGAGTTCTCTGGTCAAAGGGCACATCTAAACTAAAGCAAGAAGTCATTGCCAAAGGTCATGATTGAACCCTGTACGAACAGTCACCATTTGAAGGTCATACCTGTTCACCAGGGGAGGTACATGTCATGTCTGTTCATATAGGGATGTGTCTGTATGGGCAGTCAGTGTGTCTGTTCGTGCAGAGAGAGAATGTCCATTCGTACAATACAGATGTCTGTTCAGACAGTAAGTGTGTCTGTTCGTCCTGAAGTTGTGCCTGTTCAGAAGTAAGTCAACAAACAAAGTCCCAGTTCTGGTCTAAGTCTGATAGGCAGTCCAGATCCAGACGTTCAAGTCCAAAATTCAGGCCGAATGGCCTCAGCAGCAGCAGACCTCATTGGGACAGTACTGGGACACATGCAATGCAGGGTCTGGGACAAAGGAAAGCCTGAACTGAGTCAATGCAGACCCAACACAAGGAGGCCAGCACTATAAAGAAAGCAGCCAGCCTCACTTGACGCCAGATCTCTGCTGGCATTCTGCGCGTGGAAGTGTTGAAGCACTTGTGTGTCAGCCAGGAGGAGCAGCGCTGGAGTATGAGGAAGCTCTAGTTGAGAGAAGAAGACTGGGCGCTGGGTGGGGAAGCAGCCATAGCTGCCCAGCAAGTTAGTAGTAGGATAGGGAGTTAGTGTGTAGTCTTCTATGAGTTGCATTCAGAGTAGATCCTCGAGAGAGAGGAGTGTGTGCTTGCATAGGAGGAGGAAGGAACTGAGACGAAGGGTGTGCATGGAAGATTTGGCTATGGTGAATACTTACCTGAGTTGTTTGTAATCTGCTGAGGTGGCGCTGATGTGTAAAAGCCACATTGACGAGTTGGACGTGGGATGTGTATTGCGCTGATGAGCGCTTGAACTCAGGGAACTGTGACACTCTTTGTAATCATGTTATTGATAATATAAGCTGTGCAACTCGGTTCACTTCTCATCTCTCCTTTGTCTAATGTGTGAAGGCTTTGACTCAATGTGGGTGTTGACAATGCACGTTGTGTGAGCACACTTGCGTGACTTGGTCCCCAGGACCCATGCAAATTTGGTATCGGAGCTATATGCTCGTTGCACTCATAGCGCTGGCATGATAAAGGCCGGCGAGGAAAGGTATCGAAGTGTGGTGATGGAGGACTAGTAGGAGGAAGGGAGGAGGAGAAGAGTAAGAGGTTAGTAGTGGGAGCAGGCCGAAGAAGAAGGGGCATGTATACTTACCTGGAGCGTGCAGAGCGACGAGGAGCGACATCGGCGGTATCTTCAACAGAAGAGAAACCTCCTGCCCCTGACCTGCATGCATGCATGTGTCCCTTACCTCTTTCTCTCCCTCTCTCTCTCTCTCTCCCTCTGAAGGTGACTGCTGCTGCTGGTCTGAAGTCGGATCTGGATCTGGACCATCATAAAGTGTTAGAGTCTGGGTTGTCAGAGTCCAAGTGGTCCAGGTGATGTCAGAGTCTGGTCGCGTCAGATTGGGTCATCAGAGTTCTGCGCAGTAGAGTCTGAGCTGTCTCTCTTCTACCCCTCTTGATAGGCAGGATGCGCCAGGGTACCAGGGGGACTGGAAATCGACGTGTGTAGTGGCTGAGTGCCACGTCAGATTTCAAGAACAGGCAATACAAGTATGCTGATGAGCAGCCATATGACCAACTAAGTCAGAACGAAAGAAAAATTTGATTGAAGTATATCGTCCGATTGATATGCTCGACATCTGCATCTGACATACGCCAGCTCCAACCTGCATACAGACAATAGTAAACGTTAGTATGATCATATGAGATACACAGGGGATTAAGGAAGTAATTATATGCAAGGGACAGGCAGCGAGATTCTGATCCAGTGAGCAACCAAACAGCAAAAGTTTGCACGTAGGAAAATCTGATAGCAAGTTTAAAAAAAAAAAAAAAAGAGGAAAAATTCGTTATTACCTACTGCAGACAGTAAAAAGGACTCTGCAAAATTATTTGAGTATTTGTTTTGATATTTTTCGTTGTAATTTGCAGCACTTTCCAGAGTTGTAAAAAAAAAGTCGGAGCGGGCGCTGCGGCGTAGGTGCAAGGGGGTA